ACATTGGAAAAATTCCTATGTTAACATTGGAAAAATTCCTATGTTAACATTGGAAAAATTCCTATGTTGACATTGGAAAAATTCCTATGTTAACATTGGAAAAATTCCTATGTTGACATTGGAAAAATTCCTATGTTAACATTGGAAAAATTCCTATGTTGACATTGGAAAAATTCCTATGTTAACATTGGAAAAATTCCTATGTTGACATTGGAAAAATTCCTATGTTAACATTGGAAAAATTCCTATGTTGACATTGGAAAAATTCCTATGTTAACATTGGAAAAATTCCTATGTTGACATTGGAAAAATTCCTATGTTAACATTGGAAAAATTCCTATGTTGACATTGGAAAAATTCCTATGTTAACATTGGAAAAATTCCTATGTTGACATTGGAAAAATTCCTATGTTAACATTGGAAAAATTCCTATGTTGACATTGGAAAAATTCCTATGTTAACATTGGAAAAATTCTTATGTCACATAGGAATTTTTCCTATGCAAAAATAGGAAAAATCCCTATGTTTTTTTCTCCGTGTAAAAGACCCAGTTATTGACACTTGCAATTTCATTTTAATTAATTAACACAAATTGACTTTACTAAATTAATAAATATATTTTAATTATAAATTTTAAGATAATTGGTTTTTTGAAAACATTTTATTTTTTTAAGTAGAGTAAAATTGCAAGTGTCAATCAACTAGGCCAGCGTCAATAACTGGGTCTTTTACCTTAATATGAATTGTGATGGATAGAAATTAAAAATTTTTTTTTTTGACAGAGGGTGATGATGATAATGCTGATGTGGTTGATCTTGGTGTTCCTCTGGAAAAGCACCGAGCCAAGTTACTTTTCTTTAGCGAAAATCGTCGCCCACCTTACTACGGTACCTGGAGGAAGAAAAGCAAGTCGGTGAACCCTCGCAGACCATTTGGAAAAGACGAGGTGAGTGTTATTAAATTTTTCTTTTATTTATTTATTAATCAATATTAATTATTAAACATCAGTGTATAATAGCATTAAAATAGTAAGTATTTATTTATTTAAAGTATATGAGGCTAAAGTTTTAAGCCAGTATATTTAAGTAATTAATTAATAACTAAAACTGAATTATTTAAACAAAATCAGCTGTCGATTAGTTGCAAAACGTTTTAAACTTAATCTACTTTTATTTTTATTTATAAAATAGTTTCTTATTATTTATCAGTGTTATTAATTTTTTATCAATCAAAATTATATCGAAAATCGTAGTATTTTTGGAGATTTAGATCATGTTTGGATCATGCTTAGATCATGCTTGGACGTTAACTTTGTTCCCTCGATAACCTCTGCCGCCAGGAAAAGCGTAGGCATTTTTCCGGTGAACTTTTCGGTGCTTGGCCAAGTGGTCGCTTCTGGCGAATCTCTTTGAGCACATCTCACAAGGATATGGCTTGACGCCTGAATGAGATCTTCGGTGACGAGCTAACTCGTCTGATCTACTAAATCGCCAGCCACATCCTGCCCAGGTACAGGCAAATGGCTTCTCGCCTGTGTGACGTCTCAAGTGAGCTTTTAGATGAGAAGCTTTGGCGTAAACCTGGAAAATATTATTTAATTAAAATTTTAACAATTTGAAATTTAACCATAAAAATAGAGAAGAAAAAAATCTCATTTATTTAAAATTATAAAAAAATGAAAAAGAAAAATATGGACAATTTAAAATTGTTAATAAATTTTATCAAAAAAATTGAAAAGCAACAAATTTGAAATTATCAAGAAATTTTATCAAAAAAAAAAAAGTAGAAAAATCTAAACAATTTAAAATTATCAAGAAATTTTATTTAAAAAAAAAAAAAAAAAAAAAAAAAAAAAAAATGCAATTATCAAGAAATTTTATAAAAAATAAATAAAAATTTAATTGGACTTACTTTCAAACATCCTTGATAAGTACATGGAAAGCAGCGATCGTCATTATTCTCCAGATTACGATTCGTGTAATCATGAGTCGCCAAAGCTGCATCAGCTGACGCGGAGTACATCACGTTGCTTTCAAACAAATTGTTATTAAAATCCATACTATTCTCCAGAGATCTGAGATCAATTCCCAGCACAAGAAGAGGCTCGTCGTGTTGAAAGGTGGGTACTTCAGCGGCAGCTTTTGGAGGTGGCAAGTGTAGAAATCTCTCGCATCCTGGCGTACACATTGGAGTCCTGTCAGGCAGCCCCAAGTCCCAGGACTTGTCGAGACACCAGTCAAGCTCGCAGTCCAGCTCACTCAGTTCACTGAGACACGGCGAAGCCTCCGAGACATTAGGATTGTAGTCACTCCAGGTCACTTCTGTCGGATAGCTGCTTGGGTTCAAGTCGGTATAGTGCTCAAAATTGTCACTAACTGAACTTGTAAAGTTGTTCAACTCTACGAACTCCGGGTTTTCAAGACTACATGGGATTTCGTAGTCGCAGGGTAGCGTCGTGGGCGCTATTTCTCCCGTCTCATCCATCTTTAATCCCAGCACCGAGAAAAGTAATTCATCTGTCATCTTCTGCAACATAAATTTATAAAATATCAGCAGTCTGTCATCTGTCAGTGCGAAACATCATGTCGAGTGAAGAAACAGTACAACAATAAGCTAAAAATAAATAAATCAGAAGATGAATAATGACTACACTGTTTGATGTTGATGATAATCTCGTGTCCTTGTCGCACATGCATTACACCTCTCGGCACACCTAAAGATTGTTATCAGCGCCCCAATGCAATTTCAATTTCTCCCGGACGTTTCAATCAGGCATGTTGACAAGGCACGCTAAACAAAAGCATCCCACACGCGACTTTTACTATCTGTCTATATTTGTTGGGTAGAAAATTTAAAGACTGTCTTTGATTTTTGTGCACCCGGATAGTTTCTAAAACTTTATACTACACTGAAAAAAAAATTTTTTTTACTGGAGTGTAAATTTTCTTGGCTCAAGAAAATATTAAGGAAGGTTGAAAATTTCTTGAATGAAGTCAAAGTTTTTTAGTTACTTATTTGTTGTAGTTGTTGTAGTACAACAACAAAAGTTCATTACAAATTTGAGATTAAATACATTAAAAATATACTGTTTTTATTATTATTATTATTATTATTATTATAATTCATTTTTGATACGATTTACTTCCAGTTTAAAAAATGATCAAAATCATGGGTTATTGGAAAAAATAATGTTAATCAATTTAAACAATTATTATTATCATTATTATTATTATTATTATTATTGAAGCCAAGAAAATTTTCTCTTGCTCCAAAATAACTTTTGTTTTCCTTAAAATTTTCTTGACGCAAGAAATTTGTTTTTAGTAAATAGAAATCTAACTATTGCATTCCTAATGAGTCCTTATGACAGAACTTTTGAAAAATTTTGATATATTTCGACTCAGTTTATTAAACTGATTCAGAAAATACATATGGTTCAAAATTTTTTCTAGACAATAGTGTCTACAATTAGCAACGTATCTCCACCAAACTTAACATACTTCTCGGCTGCCCAATTTTAAAACACAGTAACTGCAAAATTTTTATACCTGATTTTTTTTTAGTATTGCTGCATTTCTTATAACTTTTAAACCTTAATCCAAGTATTTTTTATTTATAAATCCACTATTTATAAATCAAATTTTTTATCAATAACAAGAAAAATTTTTAAAAATCTTAAAATTGTCATACTGTGTTTTGAAATTAGGCAGCCGACTATTTTAAAGTTTCCTATCAAAATTTATTAGTTGATAATTGAACTGTTAAATCTATTAAACTATAAAAATTTTTTTATTTAATTATATTAGTAAAAAAAATTATCAGATTAAAAATAAATTTTGTTGACTTCAATAGACCAATTGTCAATTAATTAATCAATGCAATTAAACTAAATCAGTCTTGGCAAAATTTCAATACAATTGAAGTATGAATATTGCGGTATACTACTCGTACTTAGCTTCCTAAATCATTCTCTAACCCCCGGCGACTGTTGAGATATATATTTATATGCACCGATGGCAAATTGTTTCTTGTTATTTACAATCTTCTTAATACATAACTTGTGCTCGTAACTTGTATCTTTAGAGATGACCTCTGGATGCTTTAATTTAAATAATCAAATACTACTGCAACTACTACGCTACAATCGTTAACAAATAATTTATGTAATAAAAATATCAATACAAGATAAGACCATTATATTAACTAGTGACCAAACTTATATTCGTAATTATAAATCCTTGACCTTCGGTCACGTGTACTCACATCGAACATTGCTGCATCCTCAATCATGACTTACATTCGAAGTTTATCGTATAGAGATTTATAAAATAAAAATTTAGAAATTATTTTTTTTAATCAAAATTTTATTTAAAAATTTCAAAGATTTTTTTTTAAATTTATTAATTTATTAATTAATAATTAAGAACACCAAACAGTAAAGTGGACAGAGTAAACTAAACTGTTATGCACGAATGACTGTCCGGAACTGATCCAGAGCATGGAGCGACATTTAGAAGAAGGTGAAGAGCGAGTGTGAAGTTAATGATAATGATCCCTCCACTGAATTTAAAACTCCAACGCGTGCGAGAGCACTTTTTTGATCTGGCCAGTGGAGAGAGACCAGAGAGATAAGTGGTATGTCATGGATCGATGTGTGAAAAAGAGGACTAGGGCTCTCAGATAAGAGCCAGCATAGATATTTAAAAATAAATTAAAACATTTATCATCTAGGTTTTGGTTGATCGGGACACCAAGTACGAGAGTGGTACGGCGTCGCAGGAGATATCTAAGCTCTGTGCCACTCGGTGACGGCTCGCTGGTCGTTCCCCAGGGATCCATCGATCGCGAGCTATCCTGGCGCCTCGATCATTCTCGCGATCTCTGTACCCATTGTATTATTTTTATTGTATTTAATAATGTGACGGCAAGTCATTTAATGATTAAGCAAATTCATCTGGCGATTTGATTTTCTTTATTTATAATTATTCACCGGAGTTTTAATAATAAAAGCTACAACGCTGATTCCGCTGTCGGAGAAGGATATAAAATATTAAAAAATAAACGAGAAGCTGACCTCGGACAATATGAAGACCGTTGAGTAGCATTAATGCCGCTGGTGGAGCATCATGTCTGGTAACCATCTCCAAATAATTGGAATAGATTTGTGCGATATTTAAGCACGCGGAAATTGCGTGAGTGCTCTTCAACGTCCGCATTGCTCAATAGAACTGAGTAGAGACAGACTGTTAAGTTCAAGTATCACGAGCTGGAAGCCGGAGGGAAGTTAAATAATCTAACTACCACATTGATAAAAGGATTTGTTTATAGTTTAAAATATTTTACTAATCATTCATTAGAGACCACTTTTTAGTCCTTAACAAATATTTCTTACACTGATAAAAGGATTTTTTTTATATTTAACAAGCTTTATTAACTGTTAATAAATGATTTTTTTGCATCGGAAGATTTAATAAATATTTATTAACAGTTAATAAATATTTGTTTAAAATAAAAAGCAATTTTCTTTTGATACTTTTTATAACTATGTGCTGGAATACATAATAATTAAATTCACTAAATAAATTAACGTTTTTAATATTTAAAAATATAAAAGAAAATTATGAGCTATGATAGAATTTGGTATTTTATAATAAACGTTATTATAATGTAATCTAATTAATGCAAATAATTTATAAAGATAATTTTTGTTTATAAGTAAACAACTTATTTGTTAACTATAAATACTTATTAACTATTAAGAAATGTACTTTCCTCCCAAATAAATATTTATTGAATGTTAAAAAATATTTATTAAAATTTAATAAATTAAATAATTGTCTTCAAATAAATTAAATTATTAATAGTTAATAAATTCTTCTAAAAGTGTAGTACTTAAAAAGATTTATTAATATTTTTTATATTTCCGGTAATATTTTTGACCAAATAATGCAACATTACTAATTTAATCTATATTAGCCAAGTTTCAAATTTTAACAGATGTTTAAAACGTATATTTTCAGTTCTCTAACAATACTTTTTTTTTTTCTTCTCAGTACATTAAAATATCATTGTTTTTACTTCTGATTTTTCTTTTTTACAAATATGTAATAAGATATTGTAAAAGGACGTCAAATTTATACTTTAGTGACCCCTTTATTGGCCACTGCTGTAGAGTCTTTATGTAAAAAAATTAATATTCAATAAATGAATGTTAGATTTATTAAATACAAACAAATAATTTTAAATACTAATAAATATTTTTTAATACAAATAAATCCTTCTATCAGTGCAGAATTCTAAATCAGAATTATTTTTATCGCATAACTTTGCTGATAAACTATTTTGATTAACCAGATCAAATGTAATTGTAATTATTATATAATTTTCAGGGAAAATAATTCTATTTAACGAGATTTTATTTTATATATATGTATATTGGACTTGTGAAATTGAAACCGATCGCGTTTGCCTCGAGAGTCACTCATTCTAATCTGAGTACGTCATCAGGATAGCGTTAACATGCGATGGATTTTCCATTGCTTTTACGAATTTCGTTCCTATCTGCTGTTACGTCACCATTAGAGAGTTACAGCGAAAAATAATACGTGATTTTCAGGGCAGTGGAGACCAAAATTAAGCGGAAAAAGTAAAATAAATAAAAAATAACACTCTGGATTGTTTATAGAGCATTTTATTTAAAATGCGATTGATTGATTAATTAATTATTGTGATTATTTATAATCTCATTTGTGCTCAATTGGTGACGCTTGTGTTGAAGATATAAATATGTATATATATATATATATGTATCAGGATCCACGTGCGTTAAACACTGCATATGCACTAAATATCGCTTTGGGATTTTATCACAAGCACATGTTGCTCGCATCATCGTATTCATAATAATAATAATAATTATAATGAAAATAACAATAATAATGCGTACCAATACAAATACTTAATAACAAAAGTTACTTGTTACAATATAATAATATAACTACGCACATTACATTAACATCACACAACCAGACTCACTCGATTATCGATCGATCGTATTTCTCCCAGATATAAATATGATTGATTAAACATTACAGTATATAACTTTAAGTCACTTATATAAATAATAAAAAATATTAAACTCAATAATTTTTCTATTACCAAACGACAAATCATCGTTGGGTTGTAGACTACTCAGAGGCATCTGAGCAAATATAATCACCCGTATTAATAATACCAGACGTGTGATTGATTCTATCAAATTTATAATCCTAACTTTTTAATATTCATATTAATACTTTGATGTTATTTTAGTTTTAGTTTATTTTGTTATAAACATAGCATAAGCTTGCAGTTAATTAATAATGATTTATAGTGAATAAATTTTAGTTTTTGTTTCAATTAAATTAAAGACTGGCTGATGAAAAAAATTAAGTTGATTTAAGAGGGAACACCACAGACGGTCGAAAAAAAAGGTGATTTTTGGGAATTTTTTTAACAGGATAAAGGAAATTAGGAACCGGATTTTTTTTATTTTATTAAAGGTACATTAAAGATTATTAAGCTAAATTTTTATTAAAAAAAATTTAATTACTAAAAAGTTATTAAAAATCTCCTAGAGCACTAGAAAAAAACGGATCAGCTGAAAATAAAAATTCAAATTGCTTTTTAATAAGTAAGGATGTAGTTATCGTTGCACGTATGGAATTTTGAAAAGTTTGATTTTCAAAAAAATGGCGACTGATTAAAAATTTTCTCATTATTTTCACTGTTTTTTTTTTTTTTATTTTAATATAACATTAAAGTTGGCAGTTACTTAACCATTTTTTAATTTTTTTTAACAAATAGATTTTTTCCAAAAAATTATTTTAAATTGCATTTTTTATTTTTTAAAATTTCTACATGTTAATTTTTTTTTGCCATAATTTATTTGTTAAAAAAATTCTTAAAATTATCAAACATCTTTAAAATCAAAATTTTTTATATTCTGTACGTGTAACGATAACTACATCCTTACTGACTAAAAAGCAATTCAGGTTTTTATTTTCAGAGTATCTGTTTTTGAATTATCGATACGACCATGGAGGGGGAAATTTTTTCTAGTGCTCTACGAGATTGTTAATAACTTCTTAATAATTAAATATTTTCAAATAAAAAATTTAGGGTAATAATTTTTAATGTACCCTCAATAAAATAAAAATCCCATCCCCAAATTCTTTTATTTTCTCTGTCAAAAAAATTCAATAATTATTATAATTTTATTATTTATAATAATTATTATTATTTTAATTTGATTATAATTATAGTAATTATGCAATTTTTTTTAATTAGAAATCGATTTTTTTTATTCTTATTAAATATAAAGCGATAATTGAAAATTATTTAAGTTTTAAAAAATTTTTTTTAAATTAAAAATAATTATTGCATAATTAAAATAGTTTCCCCTTAAGAAAAAAATTCATCAATTAAGAAATTGTTTTTTATTAAAGTTAGTTATTTTATTTTATATAAATTATTTATTTAATAACTTATCTTGAATTATTGAAGATAAATCAAGTGATAATTTAATAGAAAAATATTGAATAATTACAATTAAATACTTTTTATAAAACATAATGATACTATTGATTAAATCTGGTTAATTAAAATGCAAAGCCGATTAAAAAGTTGTTTATTTAGTTGATAATAATAAATGGTAGGCGGAACTGGATTAGCCCTGCGACTATTATCCATTAGTCGATTGTGCTTTGCCGAGTAATGACGTCCTGAGTACACGCATAGCACTCGAGATTTATCGCGATTGGGGGATAAATTCTGGGCGATTAGTCCAAGCGTAATCTTGCGTGCGTGCTGCGGAACTCAATATATCATCTCGATTGGGCATAAAACAGATCATTACACATGGCCCGTCTTCACACTGTGGTTACTATTGCTATTGGTATTGGTATTACACATGTCGTTAATAATTCATCACCTTTAATCGTTAGATTTAACACAGCTTTTTATCTGTATACTGGTTTGCTTCATTCTAACATTATATCTAATGTATTACAAGTATGTGTGTGCTAAGGGTATGACACTTGTTGTATGACAGATGCTGGTAGTTAGATACGTAGAAGAGAGTGCAAAGAACCAGTGTCTAGCGAGGAAGAATCCTGTCATGAACAGATAAGATAAATTTTTCGAGTACCGGAAAGCCGTAGGCTGTTTTATATGCGTCAATGATTTTATATTTACTAAATTAAACTCATTTACGTTTTTTAGTTGTTATTTTAATATTCATGAGTTATCTGAGTAGAAGGGAAGTTTTTTTTTTTTTTTTTTTTCATCTTGAAGAACTAATTTATCAAAATATAATGATATTTTTGATTATTTATATTATGAAAAGAATAAGAGAAATTTTGTGGCCAGGGTAATCATATGATAAAATCGGTTGTTTTAATTAAATTTAGTGTCGTTTCAAAGGTCTTAACTATATCTCCAGATACATATTTAAGAAATATCCTTGTATCTTGTAAACTATTGACATTTTTAAAGATATAAGCTCATCTCGGTGTTACACTCATCAAGACCTTTCATTTGAGTACCCACATGACATTTTTTATATATTTTATATATTTTATATATTTTCACAAATACCATATATATAAAAATACTGTATACTGGTTTGCTTCATTCTAACATTATATCTAATGTATTACAAGTATGTGTGTGCTAAGGGTATGACTACTTGTTGTATGACAGATGCTGGTAGTTAGATACGTGGAAGAGAGTGCAAAGAACCAGTGTCTAGCGGAGGAAGAATCCTGTCATGAACAGATAAGATTAAATTTTCGAGTACCGGAAGCCGTAGGCTGTTTATATGCGTCAATGATTTTATATTTACTAAATTAAACTCATTTACGTTTTTAGTTGTTATTTTAATATTCATGAGTTATCTGAGTAGAAATGAAGTTTTTTTTTTTTTTTTTTTTTTTTTTTTACTTGAAGAACTAATTTATCAAAATATAATGATATTTTTGATTATTTATATTATTAAAAGAATAAGAGAAATTTTGTGGCCAGGGTAATCATATGATAAAATCGGTTGTTTTAATTAAATTTAGTGTCATTTCAAAGGTCTTAACTATATCTCCAGATACATATTTAAGAAATATCCTTGTATCTTGTAAACTATTGACATTTTTAAAGATATAAGCTCATCTCGGTGTTACACTCATCAAGACCTTTCATTTGAGTACCCACATGACATTTTTTATATATTTTATATATTTATATATTTCACAAATACCATATATATAAAATATATAAAAAATGCATGTGGGTACTCAAATGAAAGGTCTTGATGAGTGTAACATCGGGATGAGCTTACATCTTTAAAAATATCATTAATTAAGAAATGACCGCGTATCTTGAGATCTATTGACATTTTTACAGATATGAGCTCATCCCAAGATTACACTCATCGAGACCTTTCATTTGAGTACCCACATCAATTTTTTATATATTTTATATATTTATATGTATGAATATATATGTATATTTGAAAAATATATAAAAATGCATGTGGGTACTCAAATGAAAGCTCTTGACGCGTGTAACATCGGGATGAGCTTATATTTTTAAAAACATCAATAGTTAAAAAAGTACAGTGCAATTTAACAAAAGTCATTATTTACTAGAATAAAATTTTATTTATTTAAAACAATTTTTTTAATTAATAAAAAAATGTTTTTCTCTTAATAATATAATCCAAAATTTTTTAAAAATTAAATTTAATGATTTAAAATCTCAAATAAATTGAGCAAAAAAAAATTGCAAAAATTTTTCCTGGTATTAAAAAAAAAAAAATACTACTCACATAAACGCTGCCATAAGCTGCTCTTGTGCTTAATACTTAATACTTGTTTAATTTTTTAGGAAGTTAACGTGACTTAGGGGGTCCGTCGAATCAATCCGTGGATCGATGTTAAGATTGTGGGCTTCGCGCCCGATGATGATAATAAATAAATATCTCGGCGAGCATCTTCGTAATTGATGCCCGCGTACCGATCACATCGACGTTGATTCATGAGAGACAAAGACCCACCACAAACCACCGCTCACTAGTTTAAGTAACATAACAGTCTATAGTATTTCGATAAAATTTTTTAGTTAAAATTTTATTATCAAAAAAATTTTAGTCTTCCTGTGTCGCTGATACGATTGATAATTTATTTATGTATTACGTATTAATTTATCCCATTGATCTTGTGATTGTTTTTGTTTATTTTATTTCAAGAGTAGAGTACATTAATTTAACGAATAGCTAATGGATTATCGTGAGTCGCGGATGAATATGAAAGAGTGTAACGATGTAGATGAGGTCCGACGGATCGCGACCCCGTGCTCTTGGGTTCTCTTGTGTGACTAATGATGGAAGAATTAAGTATAAAGAGTTTGTTTCTAAGCACAACAGAGTGTATTGCATATAATGTAAGCCGCCGAGAGAGAGTGATATCACTCGAGTCGAGGAAGTGCCTGATACCGACGTCCTGCTTATTCATTGTCACTACATTTCATTTAAATTAAATGTCACTATATTTAAACTGACATTGAATAATTAGATTTCATTTTTTATCACTGTCTTTATCTTTCATTTTTTTACTTTTATTTTAATTATTATTTTATTAATGCTTCAGACCAAAATGATATCATTTGATGGATGTTTAATTTATTTTGTTACAGCACTTTGACTACGAAGTTGACTCGGATGACGAGTGGGAGGAAGAGGAGCCTGGTGAGTCTCTCCGTGGATCTGATGATGAAAAAGACGAGGAAAATCCTGATGACAATGAATATGATGTTGATAATGAATTTATGGTGCCGCATGGATATCTATCTGATGAAGAGGCGAAAGCTGATGAAGAGGATGATGAAAATTTGGTAAATATTTTATTTTTTTTGATTAATAATAAATATTTTAAAAAAAAATTTATTTGTTATAAATTTTTGGAAGCAGCTGGTTTGTAAATTTATACGTAAGTTTTTTGATAAAATGATTATTGAAATGTTAAATAAAAAAATTTTTTATTAATTTTATTAATTAAAATTTGTAATTTCAGTCTGCAGAGTCACAAAAATTCAAATTAAAAATTCTTGGCGAGCAATTTGAGAAAGAAATGAGCGAAAAAACTTCGAAAATAAAATCACGGATAATTGGCTGCATCTGGTTGGGACCTTCTAATTCATATCCTGAAAACAGTGAGTAAAATTAATCTATATTATTAAGAGAATAAGTAAAATTTTGTGGTCAAATTTGGTATCGTTAGAAGACTCTTGATCTGGAGTTGTGCCTTTTTATGGTTTTATATCATTCTCACTAATAGTCAATTTATGATGATAAGTACTTAGGCTGCATTCGAAAATGCTCTGTCTCTAGATACATAATTAAGAATTGACCTTGTATCTCGAGAACTATTGACATTTTTACAGATATAAGCTCATCTTGATTTTACACTCATCAAGACCTTTTATTTGAGTACCCACATCAATTTTTCATATATTTATATAAATCATATATATGTATATATGAAAAATATATCAAAATGCATTTGGGTACTCAAATGAAAGCTCTTGATGAGTGTAACATCGGGATGAGTTTATATCTTTAAAAACGTTAATATTTAAGGAAAAACAAGGCATTTTAACAATTATCTTGTGAAATATTGACAATTTTAAAGATATAAGCTTACCCCGACATTACAGTCATCGAGAGCTTTCATTTGAGTACCCACATCAATTTTTCATATATTTATATATATTACATATATGTATATATGAAAAATATATCAAAATCCATGTGGGTATTCTAATGAAAGCTCCTGATGAGTGTAACATCGGGATGAGCTAATATCTTTAAAAAAGTACAGTGCAATTTAACCTAAGTCATTACTTAATAGCAAAATTTTATTTATTTATATTTCACAAATTACAGCAGTCACATAGTGACTGCAAGATTGCTAGTATTTTTAAATTAATAAAAAAAACTAATTTGAATTATTTTTGCAGCTCCACCAAATCTAGTGAGTTACCTAACTGCAAAACAAGTCTGGGTACGAGAAACTCCAGTAGTCCTTCAGAGCACCGGCGAAGCAGAATTATCCGACGACTGTGACGAGTCTTCAGCGTCAAACAGAAAATCCAGCGCTGCTGGAGCCAAGAAAACAAAAGTCCCGGAAGACGCTTTGCCCGACCTGATTCGTTTGATCCACGGGAATATAAACGCCAGCGCGTTTCTAATAAAAGAGTTCATATCTTTCTGGCACCGAAAGTACCCTCGAGACGAGCGGCGCATATCAAAAGTATCTTTGCGAGAAAAGATCCGGGAGCTGGCCAAGCGAACAGCGTGTCCAGAAGAGGGTCCTATGCACTTAAAAACTTGCTGGTACGTTCCCGAGAGTGTCCGACAGCAGTATCTCAAGGAAGATTTGACTCTTCCTAACACCTGGACGTATATCTTAACTCCGAAGCGTAAGACGATAACTGAAGCTGAAGCGGGTGACAAGGACTTTGATCGCGAGAAGGAGAAGGACAAAGATAAAGAGAAAGACAAGGATAATCATAAAGAAAAAGACAAGGAAAAAAAGAACACGCCATTGATTACTCAGTTTACGAAAAAAATCACTCAGGAAGAAATGAAGCGACAATTGTCTATGAAGCCACCTTCGTCGACTCAAAAGCCTTCAATCGTTCCAACAACGAGTAAGCCTCCAAAGAGAGTCGCTTTAATTTCAGTTGCAAGAGGCGAACAATTTCCTAAAGCTTCTGCTTCATCTTCCACTTCATCATCTTCATCTTTAATCATCACTGCCTTTAATAAAATTAACGCAAAATCTCTTCCCACATCAACTTCATCCACTTCAACTTCAACAACTTCATCCACTTCAACTTCAGATTCAATCATCACCGCGTTTAATAAAACTAGCGCTAAATCTCTTCCCACTTCAAATTCAACTTCAACAACTTCAACTTCAACTTTACAGTCTGGAAGTTCTTGCATGCCAATTACTATTGACGATTCATCTCAAAGTCCGCGAAAAAATGAATCATCAGCAAATGAAGTGACGATTATTGATAATGAAAATTTAAAAGCGGATAAAATTGATAAGAATGATGGCAAAAATGAAGTTGTTATTGATGTTGATGAAGAAAAAGAGTAAATTATAAATTCAGTGGTTCTGATCTTATTTTTCAGGGTTTGGTATATAATAATAGTCTCTGTTGTGTAAAAAATAGTAATTGTTGAATGCCGTGCCGTGAGTGAAGTTGAGTTGAGATCCCAGAAAACTTTTGAATCTTAACACGTCGCGTGTAAGATTGCAATAGAAACCGATGACTCGTCCCTTGCCACTATGACTACTGCTTCTATTATTATTATTATTATTATTATTATTATTATTATTATTATTATTGTTATTATTATTATTATTATAACAACTACTGCTGGTTCTACTTAATACTATTTACTATCACTGTTACTCGGGTACTGTTTCAACTTAAACATACTGGCATTGGTGGGAATCAATGCGATTATTATCGTACACGATAATCGAGTAATAAATCGAGGCGCGACTTGAAGCGGGGCCAGCAATCAATGGGAGAGGTAAGGTAAACCCAGTCTCGCCCTTTCTCATGGGTATGGCTTTTATATTCATTCCTTTTTAACAATCCTGTGAGATTGATACTCTGATGCGTTTTCATAAACTGTACACGGTCAATATAATAATACCACAAAAATCTATTTTATATCGCTTTTACTTATTAAAAATACTTATTAAAATTATTATTATTTTTTTTTCTAGTATGTATAGATTAATTGATAAGTTTGATAAATGTATAAATAACAGTTTTTATATCCAACAGTGCCTCAATTTTAAATATTATGTTTAATTTTAATAATTACAAATATATCTCATGTAATTGAATTATAAATAGTCAAAAAAATCTTAATTGTTGAATGACGGAATAAATTTTTTTAAAAAATATTTATTCATTTCTTCTTTTCTAAAGTAAATAGTAAATTTATTTTTTTTTTTTAATAAATAAATGTAGGTAAGTATTTAATATATAATTTAATTTTTAATAAAAATTATTAATTATACTTTTAAATATTTTTAGAATCAAGCAGCTTTCTCATGAGAAGAAAATCGACTAAGTAAAGACTACTGACATTTTATTGACGTGGAATATAATGACAAGCAATCACACTTGCATTCACTTTGAAGAGATTCTTCACGCTCGATCACTCGTGACAGTAACAATCAACATAAGTATATAATATCCAAGTAATCTAAACTAAAGGAGGATCTTTAGATAAAAAGTTGGTTTGGTAGGATGTGAAGCCTTGTTGCTAGGTAGCTGTTGTTATGGGAGCGTTGCCTAGCAACGGTTGCTATGGGAGTGTTGTCTAGGGAAGAGGGTTTTTATCGTTAAATTTGGTATAATAATTAAGAATTGACCTTGTATCTCGTGAACTATTGACATTTTTAAAGATATAAGCTCATTCCGATGTTACACTCATCAAGACCTTTCACTTGAGTACCCACATGCATTTTGATATTTTTTTCATATACACATATATATGATATATATAAATATATGAAAAATTGATGTGGGTACTCAAATGAAAGGTATCGATAAGTGTAACATCGGGATGAGCTTATATCTTTAAAAATGTCAATAGTTAAGAAAGTACAGGGCATTTTAACAAATATCTTGTGCACTATTAACATTTTTAAAGATATAAGCTCACCCCAGTGTTACACTAATTGAGAGCTTTCATTTGAGTACCCACATCAATTTTTCATATATTTATACATACAATATATACATATATATGAAAAATATATAAAAATGCATGTGGGTACTCAAATGAAAGCTCTTGATGAGTGTAACATCAAGATGAGCTTATATCTTTAAAAATGTCAGTAGTTAAAAAAGTACAGTGCAATTTAACAAAAGTAATTATTTAATGCAAAATTTTATTTATTTTTAGTTCACAAGTCACGGCAGTCACATAGTTGCTAGTTTTCATTATTTTGATTGTATTAATTTTATTTGTTATTAACTTCACTGATATGTTTACTTTTTAGATATTTTGTATCTAATTATGTGTAATTTTTCATTTTAATATGATTTTATTGCAGACACATTATCCGCGCGTAGCGCGCAGTTCCTACTAGTAATATAAAAAGAAGAAAAGTTTTGTGTTTAAGCTAGTTTAGTACGATAGAAACAGTTTGTATGTAGAGTATGTATAGCAAAGAGTTTGTTGGTTCCGGAAATCTCAATCAACTAGAATCTCCAATCTCCTATCTCATACATTGTGATCAAACAACGAGACTATTTTACATGGTTTTCCAGTTGCAGGCATCCGGAATTTCTGGTAACAGCAAAGCTCGTCCAATTACGATTGATCTGCAGTCGTACCTGCAGTCTCCGGAACTTCCGGCGTCCGTAGGAGTTAGAGTTAGGAGTTGGAAGTTGAGTTGGAGCGTAGAATGGTGGAATGGGCCGGAGAGTTTCCCGTTCCGAGGAAGAGGATAGGAGTGAGTTGCTCGAGATAGAAGACTATTTTCCTCTTCACTTCTCAGTTGGGAGAAATGTGAAGACGAGAAAGACCGGATCATTTTGTTGCGAGGTTGTCTCGACATGGAGCTTGGTGCTTGGTGCTTGGTGCTTGGTGTAGGTAAGGACTAGCCTCAAGAGCAGTAACGTCGAGAGAGTGCTCAGATACAACAGAGTAAAGTTCAGAGTACGAGTTGGAACTCTTCTCGGTATCTCTACTTCGCTAAGCTCTAGCTGTATATACAAGGACTCACCACACATTTATATATTATATATATATATGTATTTACAGATGTACATACACTTGTACCTATGTACTGGAGATTCAAGACCGGAGAGAAAATGGTAGCCAATGGCGTTGGCTCACCGTCGCTGCTACAGAGTATTGAACGTCTCCAGCAGCGCCGTCCAGATCTTTCTCTGCCTCTTTACTCACCTCGTCCTCGGGTCCTCGCCCTTGTGACCCGGCTCTACTACCTCCTTGGTTCTTCCATCAACTTGCTAGAAAAAATTACTCTTTTCTTGGTGTCAGTTTAGTCGACATTTTATACACAAATCATCATTTTTTGGGTGTTTAAAAAATAAATTAGTAAGAAGAAATATTTTAAAAAATTGTAATTTTAATTTGTATACATTTTTTCATGTAGAATTTTTAAAAAATTATAATAATTTTGGAGAAGAAATTTTAGACATTTTTTGAGTTTATTTAAAAAATAAATTAGTAAGAAGAAATATTTAAAAAAATTGTAATTTTAATTTTTATAAATTTCTTAAAATTTATAATAATTTTTAAGAAGAAATTCTAGAGATTTTTTAGTTTAATTTCAAAAATGATTTAGTAAGAAGAAATATTAAAAAAAAAATTGTAATTATAAATTTCTTTATGTAGAATTAAAAAATAAATATTTTTATAAATAATTTGGTGGAAAAAATTGACAAGAAGTCTATTAACTTCATTATCATTTTTATATAATACTAAAATCAGCAAATACTTGACTATTTTTTTAATTAAAAAAATAAATTAGTAAGAAGAAATACTAAATTAAAAAATTGTAATTTTTCTAAATTTCATATAAAATATTTTTTACAATAATTCATTAGACTTTTTTTATAACAAAATATTTTTCTAAAAAGAAATCCCATTTAAAGAAGAAATAAAATGATCTAAATTACGATTTAAATATTGACGAAAAAAAAAAATTAAATCCACAAATATATATACCCAAAAATGGCTTAAAAATACTCGATAAGAGCCTACCGTTTGTTACGAAGGAACCACCTTCCTTTCTCTTTCCCGAAAGACGTAAACATCCTTCCTCTGTATAGTATTGTCCTGAAGATACTTCCTGGACTTTCCTTTCTCATCCCGACCTTGCAAGGCTGGTTATTAAATTCCTGAGCTTCCTAGAACATTGCTCCTCTCGTGCCGGTCCAGTCATCAGCCACAACAGAGAAATCCACGGGTCAGAAGTACTCATCTCCACCTGGTTCTCACGCCACGGGATTCGTGCAACCTTCCCCTGGCATAAACCTCTGTCTGCCGCGACCACACACATCAGTCAGCCTTAACTCTTGAGTTTACTTTTGCTCTCGCTCGGCTCCTGCCTTTCCTTGTAGTTACAACTACAAACTACACAACTACACCTACAGATTGTAAAGATCCATACACGTTTCAAGAGGGTGCAATCTTCGCTGACAGGAGTCAGGAGTCTCGTAATTTCTTCTGGTGGAGTTTGCAAAAGGGAGCCGATAGAGAACCAGAAGAAGAAGAAGAAGAAGAAGAAGAAGAAGAAGAAGAAGAAGAAGAAGCCGAACCAATGGCGTGTCACGGGCATGGCGTGCGGAGTTACAGCTCTCGGATTCCAGCAAACCAGGAAAGAGTGTCCCTTGAGACTGCAACTCGATGCTATAGTAGTAATATCTACATTTGGAATTTCACGCGAGCAGAAGCCAGCTTTGCCTTGCCTTGCTTTACTGCGAAGAATAAGAATAAAGATGAGCTTCTTTAATGTTGTTCCCACGGATCAAGCTGGTATGGTTCAAAATAAGTCTCCTATCTTCTCTTCTGTCTCCACACACCCCTTCCCACGCCCCATTTCACTCTCATTCTCATTCTTGTTCATTGAGTCCCACGAAGACCCCCTCAAGTTCCACGAAACGAGCCACGTACTCCCTAAAACATTCAAAGATCCACCAGAGGTTATATTAAATAGCACGCTTTCATTTTTTACCATACGTGGGTTGTTATTTTCTGTTACCCGAGGCTCCAGGCCGCATCACCGTCTTTGCCCAGAGAATTTAAATTTCAGAATCTGCTTAGCTATGAAATGAAAATCCGGCACCTGCTACCCTACCACCCACCGGTTTTTCCGCGTCTTTAAAAATAAAAAAATATTAAATAGAGATTGTTATTAAATTATAAAAGCTCTCTGGATAATATTATACAATGTTGTGTGCTACGAAAAAAAAAGGTAAGATGAGATAAAGATAGCTCAGTCGGTGAACAGATTAAGCTTAGAACGAGAGATTTATGGAAGTACCCACCAACTTTTTCCGGCGATCCTCTGTTAGGCTCTTAGGCTCGGGGGCGGGATTAGCATAAGACAGCAGCTGCAAAATTTTATATGAATCTATAGGTGCCGACAGGTTTCTGTCCTGGTCATTAAGTCTAAATTTATTCTGGCTTTTGGATTTTTTTTTTTTTGCTAATTGTGTTTAGAGTTGTTTATTTATGAAATTGATAATGTAAACACTAATTTACGGCAATTGAGAAAATTTGTGAATTAATTTTTGTTATAAAGTTTGAAAATTATGGTAAGATTATTGGCTGAAGAAATATGTAGTTATGGAAATTGAAGATTATTCAATTAGCTTTTAGATGAAATTTAGAATAATTTAAGAAGTTGTTGCATTCAAGAGTTATTGAACGGAGAGACAGTAAAAGTTAGAATTTTTCTTAACTTTTAATGGCTGTAATTTTTAAAATTATTAATCTAGAAATATATTTAGGTATGTAAATTAAAGGTTATTTAAATACCTTTCAGATAAAATTTAGAGTAATTTGATAAGTTATTCCATTTAATAATTATTTCACGGAGAGACAGTAAAAGTTAAAATTTTTCTGAATTTTTTTAAATTTTGAATTGCTTTCATAAACTTTTAATTTTCATTTTTAAACTTATTGATCTAAAAAAATATTTAGGTATGCAAATTAAAGTTTATTTAATTATCTTTAAAATAAAATTAACATTAATTAAATAATTTATTTCATTTGATAATTAATGCGAGGAGAGACAGTAAAAGTGAAAATTTTTTTTAATTTTTTTAAATTTTGAATTGATGTAATTTTTTTAATTTTTGATCTAGAAAAATAATTAGGTATGCAAATTAAAGGTTATTTAATTAGCTTTCAGATAAAATTTAGTGTAATTTCATAAGTTATTCCATTCAATAATTATTACAAGGAGAGACAGCAAAAGTTAGAATTTTTTTTTTAATTTTTAAAAATTCTAAACTGACCAATTTAGCTCAGTTTTGAACTTAATCTTAGTAGAAAATCGAGCGCGCTTTTATCAAAATGTTTATTATCAACAATTTAAAATTAATCAATATTTTGACAAATTTTAATCATTAATATTTAATCGTTGTCAAAGTGGTTACCATAGCAACGAAAAGCGACAACAATGAAAATGTCACATCAGGATAAATCGTCCAAAAAATAAGTAAGCTATGTTTTATGGAGATCCGATAAAAATTATGTGAATTATAGAGTCAAGGCCAGTTATATCGTATGAGCATAAACTTTTGAAGCATATTTTCTGAACTAGCTCGTCGAGCTAGTTCAGAAAATATCAAAATTTTTAAAAAGTTCCATCGAGAGGACAAATGCGAAAAAATAAAAAAAAAAAAAAGAAGAAATATAGTAACACAAGAGAAGAAAGGAAAAAAGAAGAAATAAAAGTTATGTGTCGACGGTGATGCTCCGATGAAAGGTGTGGGAAACTGCGGCTATTATGGAGATGGATCTCTTCTTGGGATAAAAAGCAGAGTACGAGGAGTAGTTCGAGAGCCGGTTGAAGGCTCGGAGGTGAGGGATGACTGGTGGGTTACTTGAAGCAATATATCACCACCCTCTTGTCGTCCGTGAGACGCGCAAGCAAGCTTGATGTCGTGCCCACCTTTTCCCCGCTCGAGCTTCCTTCCTTACTACATACTCCACAACAGAAACAGCGAGCTCGCCCGCAATCGATACCTGGGCGTGTGAACCTAGAATAGCACCCGTGTCCTCGATCTTACCCATAAATACTTTAATAACAGCTTTGTCAACGGATTACACTCCAAGGATTTATCGCCGGTGTGTAATTTTTTCCCGGTTCGCTCGAGGTTTGTATCAACTCTCAATGTTAATTTTATCCTCAGGCTCTTGAATTAAGTTGTTGAAAATTTTCCAAGTTCAGAAATAATTTTGCAGGTATTGCAACTAAAAAAAATTAATTATTTTAATAAATATATATAGACAAATTAATTAAAATTTAAAAACTTTATTTTTTTTTATTATAGGGGTGGAAGAAAACCGCGAGGCAGAGCTTCACGGATCGATGTGTCGCAGAAAAGGTGTCCAGCTGAAGCGCTTGCGCCCTTGGAGTCCCGATTGTCCTCTTGTCCTCCCACGGAGACGTCGCTGATTCGTCGAAACACCCTATGACAGTCCTCAGGTTTGTCACCGCATAAGACCCCTTCCTGATGTCCTGTCGCCAACCAACAAACTGGTGACACTCGACTACGCCCTTGAGGGCTGTACTGGTGCCAGCTGGTAATTTTACCTTTGTTATCTATATTATTAAGAGAATATTTCTAGATACATAATTAAGAAATTACCTTTTATCTTGTGAAATATTGACATTTTTAAAGATATAAGCTCATCCCGATGTTACACTCACCAAGACCTTTTATTTGAGTACCCACATCAATTTTTCATATATTTTATATATATTATATATTTCACATATACCATATATATAAAATATATAAAAAAATGCCATGTGGGTATTCAAATCAAAGGTCTCGATGAGTGTAACATCGGGATGAGCTTATCTCCTTAAAAATATCAATAATTAAGGAATGACCTTGTATCTTGTCAATTATTGACATTTTTAAAGATATAAGCTCATCCCGATGTTACACTCATCAAGACCTTTCATTTGAGTACCCACATCAATTTTTCATATATTTTATATATTTGTATATATGTATATATGAAAAATATATATCAAAATGCATGTGGGTACTCAAATGAAAGCTCTTGATGAATGTAACATCGGGATGAGCTTATATCTTTAAAAACGTCAATAATTAAAAAAGTACAGTGCAATTTAACAAAAGTCATTATTTTAAAAATCAAAATTTTATTTAATTATAGTTCACAAGTTCCGGCAGTCACATAGTGACTGCAAGGTTGCTAGTAATTTTTATTTGTTTTGTTCTCCAGTTTCGCCACACCTGGTGTGAAATTACAGTAATTACGTCCTCCTAATCACATAAAATAATTTCAGGTTTGAATTTATTTTGTTTAGCAGAAAAAATTAATTTTAATTTTATTTATTCTCGAAAAAAAATAATGAAGTTTTTAGTTGGAGTGGAGGAACAATGAAGATAACCATCGGATTAATGTATGATTAGTAGATTAAAATGAGGATTTAAGATTTAAGATCACTCGTTAAATAATCAATGAGCTTTTTTGTCCGGCAACCCGAAAACCGCGTCTCCGATGGGATGAACGAGATAACAAACTCAATTTCCGGAGCAAGATGTACATATGTATGAATGTATACATTTATACATATAGAAATAATTAACCAGCAAGACAGGTAAAGCTAAAGTTTATTATTTGATGATAGGAAATAAATTTTAATTTTGTTATTTAATGACATTTCCGGCTTATCAGGTACTGGCAATTCCTGGATCGCAATTTTATTACTGGCTTGTGCTCATTCGGCGGAGAACTCTCGAGCTGGAGGGCCGGGAGTGAGAGGATCAAGCTCGCTCGGAGTGTCGTTCTGGCCGGGGGACAACGCGCGACAACGCCGATTGGCCGATCGCGGGGACAAAGGCGTGGTTTTCCACCATCGCGAGTCAGGATAATTGGATGGCGTCGCGACAAACTTGCTGATAAGTTCTGGATTGGTCGCTGAGGACAACTTTTTATTGCAATTGAATTGTTTTATCACCGATTGGATGGTACCAGGTTCCTAAACAGCGCTAAAGTGTAATTAACAAATTTTGGTGTCCAAAATAATAATTTTTACTATAGCTAAGAATTTAAATTTTTTATTTAAAAAATTTTTAATTTTTTAGAGCAGTAAAGATTGGAAATAGAAAATAATTTGTTACAAAGTTTCATGTTTGTTGAAAAAAAAATAAATTGATTAAAGAAAAAAAATTTTTAAATCAAGAAAATACACTGAAAAAAAAAATTAATTTGAATCAAGAGAAATATTCTTGAACCAAGAGAATAATTTTGAAATTTTATTGTCTTGAATTAAGATGAAAAATTTTTGAATAGAGTAAAATTTACCTGAACCAAGAGAAAATTTCTTAGTTTAGGAATTTTTTTGTCTAAATCAAGAATATGATATTCATCAAAATTATTTATACTTGATTCAATTAAATTTTTTTTTGTGTAGCTCCGATACTACACAGAAAAAAAAACTTCTTGCACCGCAAGAAAATTTTAAGGAAGACAAAAGTTATTTTGGAGCAAGAAGAAATTTTTTTGGCTCCAAAAAACTTTGACTTAATTCAAGAAATTTTCAATCTTCTTTAATATTTTCTTGAGCCAAGAAAATTTACCCTCCAGTCAAGAATTTTTGTTTTTCAGTGTACAAGTGTCAAATGTTCCATACAAAGTCTTATTTATTTTACATAGTTGATTTTCCTACACTGATAAAAAATTTAACTTGGCTTAAGAGCAAGAATCTTGAACCAAGAGCACCATTTTGAAGAAAATGATTTTCTTAAGTCAAGAGAATAATTTCTTAAAACAAGAAAATTTTTCTTAGACCAAAAGAATAATTTTTTAACTCAAGAATTTATTCTCTTGACTCAAGAAAATAATTTTCTTCAAAATGGTGTTCTTGGTTGAAGATTCTTGCTCTTGAGTCGAGTTAAATTTTTTATCAGTGTATGCAAAATCGAATTAGAGAGAGATATCCTGTAAAGGTTTTTTTTTTTAATAATTATTACTGTCACATATATTCTGAACCTGTACTTTTAATTACACAAAGTATTAAATATATTATTTATTTTCATTACCTCAATTTTTATTTAAATCCGATCGTAAATTTTTGTAAAATAAAATAAAAACTGTCAATGTTAAACCCTAAAACTTTAAAAGCTTAACATTTTTTATTGGTTCTCTTGAACTTTCCAAAAATTAAGCTTATTCTTCCTACAATTTACAATTTCATAAAAT